CTCGATTTCTTTTCTTTGAAGTGAATTCAGTTTTATATCCACTGTCAAGAAATATAACAATGTCTAGATCTGAAACAACCACATTTTACCAATAAAGATGACAAATTATAAAATTTAATATCTTTGCATCTATGCCTATTAAACTCAAAAGTAAAAAGATATAATAAATTGAATTTTGAATATTGTAACTTAACAAATAATTAGATGCATTCAGTGAATGATTAAAGCATTAAAAACGCTTCTCTTAACATCTATTGATACATTTTTGCGAGACAAAGCATTATGAATACCCCTGCAATGTGAAAACTTGCTCGCTAGAAAGACATAACTGATAAGGGGAGAAGGTGCGGATCTTATTTAGAGGCCGCTGCAAAAATTGAGGCATCATTTTGCCGACACAGCAGATTTAAGATTTAGCAGAGGCCACCTTTTGATGGTCCGAATCTTAGAACAAATTTCCTCGAATTAAGGCTGCGTATTGTGTTCTCGTTAGTTGTCATTCTTGCTGTCTACAAAAGAAGACTATGAGACCAGTTAGACTCATAGCTGAGGCGGTTTACTTCCATTCTTGATCAACGAATCCAGACATCGGAGCCATCTCCGTTTCGGGAAAATAATAGGCGGCTCCCGTTGGCTTAACTGAACAGCTGCATAAAATGCAATTCTGAGTGAAACGTTAGATGAAACATAACTCATTGTATACCACGAAGATGCCGCTTCAAGGTACTCATCTTTTAGGCGAACACTTCATTAACAGATATATCGAGGTAAGTAAGCCTGATGATGGAATATGATTTTAGAAAGCATACAAGGCTATCCTTCGGATTAGTGGTTGTTGTAAACCACGCCAGATTTTGTGAGCTTCATATTTGACTTGCTGCTTCCTTTCACGCTATTTGTGTATCCAGTTTGTCAAAAAAATATCTTTTCTAAGAGGTCAATACTCCTTGTCATTAGGTCGATAGTATGGTGCAACTATAATTTCAGGAACAGGATGGTTTAAGACCCATTCTTTAAATAAAACAAATCTTGTTTACATATGGGATAGTTTTTAGTCCCTTTAACACAAAGAGGAATTAACAAAGTTGGATCTATGTTCCGACGATCCAGACAGATTAGAACTGCAAATTCAATAACACCGTCGAGGACAATGGCTCTGATCTATCTATATCTGTCATCGAAACTGTATTAATTAGGCTTATGAATCACGTGGTCATTAAAGAAAAATTATGAATCACATGTTCATTAAATAGCAGATACAGACGCAAGCACCAGGCTTCATCTGCAAATGTAAAAGAATATTATTATCTTCATAGAAGTTCGATAGTGTTAGAAGATTAAAACATTTATTTTGCGCATACCGAAAGAAGTCACTGTATCTTCAGCCGAATTTCCTTTCAGATTATTCACACACTATGATTGGAGGAAGAGAGAACTAAGAAAGAGAATTCATTTTCAGAGAGTTTAGTAAGTAAACGCAAATCGCTAACTTCCTAAAACGACTCACTTTCTGATTACTAGAGCAAGCACTGGCAACACAGGAATTTCTTTTTCTGATTGGAAAATGAAAGAAATGAAAATAATAGAGGCTAGAATGTGAGGCTTGTTCTTACCTAAATAAATCCTAAATAGTTAATCCTAAATAATAAAAGCATGCATTGCAATCTAACCCACTTGGGTTCTATATCGTAAAAACACTTTTATCGAAAAAAAACCTTCTCTGAAAGTAGAAAAAACACGATAGCCCGCAGGAAAATTTTAGATTTTAATTCGTTACATTTTGTAATATTCAATCTAGATAATATTATTATCTAATAATTTTCTAATAATTATAATAATTAAATTTAATAATTTTCATTTAACTAAAAGTTTATTAATACGACGACTTGTAATAATTTTAAATTTAACGAAACTTATTTACTGCCATTTGTGGGATACTAAAAGCACAAAAGCTTTAATATATAGAACGTAACAAATACATTCAGTGTCTACCCATCTAATTTGCGATAATTTGGTAGAAAATACAAGTAAATCTCTTATTGTAACTTGATAGTCGAACTTGTAGACGGGCGATGAAAATAAGCTGCTTGCTGATGGAAACCTCCTTGCCTTGGAAAACCTCTTTCGCTCTCAACTAAACATTCGTTGTTTATTAAAACTCCCGCTAATTTGCATTCCGGTTCATGAAAGCTGATGAAGACTGATGAATGAATTGCAAATTTTGACATAATGAAATGTGTTCTCTAAAATAAGGTTTTCAACAGCATTAGATTTATAGCAAGCATTCATTTGCATTTATTTCCAATCTGAAATTTATTTACAAAGAAATGAAATTTTGTACGTGTCTCGTGGGAGTGATAAACTAAAAGCAATGCAAGGGATTAAAAGTTATCTCATTTACCCTGGAGAAATATGGTTATTCAAGGAAAATTTAGCATCCCAGTATAAACAATTCAAGTGCTTTAAAGTAAATGGCAAACAATAATTTTATAAATAACACGTCAGTGTTTAAATACGTAGCTTTATAAAGTTCTTAGTATCAAGAGGACTGCGTATCAAATGAAACAAATAAAAAGTTATTACATAAAGGATGAATAATTATAATCAAATCTGTTTCACCTAAGTAAAAATCTGATGTGTACACCACATGACTTCCTTGTACGGAATTTTTAAATCATACACATTTTTTCTTGCATTTCATTTAAACTTAATGGATTGAATTTAATTTACTTCGCCGACAGCGCGTAAACCACAATAGAAAAAATGCATTCTTTAAAATTCACTCTAGTATTTGTTTACCATAGCCACACTCTGGCGCTAGATTAACTTAAAAGTATTATATTTTGTTCATATTATAACTCATAAAGCACAAAATTTATATCATTTAAAGAATAGCATTATCTAATCGCTGCCACATGTTCTATTCAAATACTATAATAAAGCTAGAATGATGTATAAAAGAAATTAAGCAAACAAAACGAAAAGAAAAAGTTTTTCACAGACGATTGAGTATTTCTCATTCAATTAATTCAGTTTTCACTTCGCGAGAAGACAAAAATACATAAAAACTCAAAATATCTATATTAAAAATTACGAAGTAAATCTCAAACACTTATTTCCTCGAAAAAATTCCAGAAAGGATTAAGCATGATTTAATTGGCAATAATAAATGAAGGCATTATCTTTGTTGTTCCGAAGCTAAGTTTCTCTAGATTGGCAACTAATCCACTAGTCTGCTGATTCAAATGTAAACAATCAATGGCCGCCATAAAAAAAAGTCTTAGCGGCACTTAAACAACTTTAAAATTGTTGATAATTCTAAACATATTGCATAAGATTTACTAAAGGCATAAAAACCTTTACTGGAAGATAAAAACAACATAATTCAATCATTTTTAAAGCAAAAAATGTACAATTTACAAAAATAAAGAAACTGAGATCACTATCACTGAGCCGGGTAATAGAGTGGATATATATATAAATATATTTATATATGTTTGGTGCGGCCAATTGCAACCAAAATACGAGGTGCACATCTACATGTTATAGCAGTCCTATATACAAAATTTCAACGTTCTGAGGCTACTCGTTTTTGAGTTATGCGAGATACGTACGTACGTACATACGTTCGTACAGACGCGACGAAAAATTCTCTTCAGAATTCATTTTTAAGCAGTTTTATAATTTTTTTTTTGGAGGAAACGAGTATTTTATTCTGCCCTTACGTACAGATATCACGCAAAGCATCGTTAAATTGTATTCGATAGCGGTGAAAATGTATATTTTCGTTGAAATATGCTGCCTGAAACCTTTCGCGCTTACAATACTTCCTTTTTACTTCGTACAAGGAAGTAAAAAGGGAATAATGAATATCTTTCAAATGATAGTTTCGCTGCAATAAATATCTTATAATTTTAAAAACAGAAATATTGCCACATCTGACTTTACATTGAGCAATATAAAGGTAGACAAATAATTAGAAGTACAATCTTAAATTGCACCAGAAAAAATATGCGTGAAGATGCGATATTTTTTATGTATTGTAAAGTGGCGATAGTGGCCAATTTATTTCAGTTGTGAATCTCTGTTAAATACACAGAGTCATTTCTCAAATGCACGCATCCCTTCCGCTACAAAAAAAAAAAAAAAAAAAAAAAAAAAAAAAACCTAAGCCAATGGTATACAAATACGCAATTCTGATTCTGGCAACTACTTCCAATACAAGATTCAAATAGAGTGTTAAAAAAAGAAGAAGAGCGTAAAAGCGAAAACTATTACAAATGAAAATGTGCTAGTTCTTAATACAATAAAATGTGCGCAGCGGTAAAAGTGTATCATATCCTATCACACTGGGTCTGTAAATATTTAGTAAGTGGTCAAGATGGAATAAATTAAGTTGTAGAGACATTAGGTTGTTTTCTTAAGAAGAGAAGAAAAATGAGCAACGCCTTCGTCGGGAATCGAACCACGGACCTCTGGATATGCGCCCAGCGTACAGACCACCACAATACGAAGGCGTGCTAGGAAGGCAGGAGAAATACCTTATAGAGTGAAATCTTTAAATGCAAATGGCAGAAGTTGAGGAATTAAAACATGAGCATATGAAGAGATCCCAGATTCATGTTGCAACTCGCGATCAAGCACTTACAAATGAATGATTTTGCCTGTAATCATAACCAACGCGATTGCTTTTCTTTTGAAAGCTTAACAGGCAGTACCTAAAACTTATATCATCCTTACATTCCAAAAAGCATCTAAAAATAATATAAGCTGATTACGCTAAACTAATAATATCCCATTCGGATGTATTTAAATAAACGTTTTGCATATTATGTACATTATTTTTTGTGTTTATATTTACATTAAGTATATTTTCAGGGACTGGTCTATATAAAAATGTCACTTTGTTTTAATATGCTAAAGGATATGCAGTTCGTAATTATTTTATTCATTCATGTGAGGCATTTCTTTAATAATTTAATTTATTTGTTTCCTCATAGCCACTTACGGAGGAGGACACAGATCATCAAGACAAGGTAATGCTTAGTATCAACTTTGAATTTTCATTTCTATAGAAAGCAGAATGAATTTCTTAAATGTGTTAACATGTTTTATATTAAATGTTCATTCGAAAATAAAAGAATTAGTTTTTTAAAGCAAAATTATCATTCTTAAGTCAGAACTTTTACTTAAACCCCTTCAATATGCTAAAGAAGTACAGTCATCGCTGCTTATTAAACTCACTGGTTTATAAACGCAGTTGTTTATTAAGTTCAAATTTCAAAGAATCAAATCAAATACATTCACATCAATAGAAAAACAGCCACTTTTTAAATATAAATGGGCGAAAGCCTGATTCTTTATGGCCAGAATATCGTACTTGTGCCTGTTTTCCTAGTTCATTCATTTAACGAATTGTCTATCTTAGTTTTATCGTTAAGGTATACAATATAATACTTCAATAAAACTGGTTTAATCGAAAATTTCCTACCTCCCTGTCCCTATAGCTCTGAGACGTTGTTTCAAAGTGCTTTATTAGCTCTGGACTTTAGAAGGTCAGAAATGATTTACCTCAAGGTTATCTTATGTAGAAGTGAGAGGGGCCAGCTAATATTTGCCCTAAGTAAGTAGGTGACCTCAAGGTTACCAATAACTATCTCTAGAGGCATTGTAAATGAGGGAGGGTTTCTTCTCGAATACCAGTTGATATTATTATTACTCACATGTGCCGCCTTAAGGCACTTCAGGGAGGGATGCCTTCACGGAGGACTCTCTAAAGGAAACTGGCTCGCATTAACAAGTTACACATGGGGAAAACAACGAAAGGGCCCACGCAGCCAGCACGTTTGCGGGATTTGAATCTCGGACCGAACTGCCAGTGTTAAGCGACTTTACCGCTCGGCCATGTAGAAATGGTGGACCATGTAGAAATACAACTTTGGTATCTATCTTTTAAGGATTCTGCATTCAAAATCTTCATTCATTTTAATGCATTATAAAAAGTTTCAGGGATGTCTAGTAAACGTTGAGCAGAGCGTACTTTCGTTAAAATGCAAACACCTCGATGGAAATGCGTAAGTCAAATAACTCTGCTAAAGGATATGCATATTACAATCAAACTCATAAATTAGGGTAATCGCATAAAATTAGTTAAAAATAGCTTTCGAAAATGTGAATTATATGTAGAAGGACTCGAGGAATTGAAAACTATAGCTAATGTTTCAGACAATCAGGGAGGGAACGTACGAAAGTTTTTAAGGATTTTAAGCTTTACTAACGTTTATTTTAAACTTTGCTATCATCTCTTATTTTCCATTTCCGACCAGAATAAGCCGAGTACGATTTTTATTTTAATGAGTCTGCAAACTGTATAGATATTTAAGAAGTGACTTCTACCCAAGAGAGAGAAGAGCCTCCATGCAGCCTTGACATGCGCGTGCTTTTCAGTCACTTCATGTCTGCCTTTAAGGCCAGAACTTAGTTTCTGCTGATATACTAAGAGGTACTGTAGTATCTGCATTTCGCTCACTTCATACGTAGCGTCAAAAGGCCAAACTTCGAGTTAATAGTCTTTGTAAAGCATTTAAATTTAGTTCTTATTTAGTTAAGTTAATTTATTTTTTATTTTCTACGTTTTAGACCAAAAGTGTTGGTCTCTGTATCCCGAAGTGCTGGAACGCCTGTATGCTGTGAGAAATTTTAAAGGGTAAAGTTAACCCTTTCATTTGTGTTGTCTCTTCCACGCACACACGAACATAGCTTGAGTAAGCTTCCTGTTCCCATTCAGGATTACTAGATGTTTCCCAAGGCAACTAGAAGGAATAGTAGTCGTGGAAAGTTCACTTTTAGAAAATATATTTATCACAAGATTGAGACAACGTGTATGAAACGTGACTATGAAAAGTGTTAAAAAGAACTGCAGAAACTATCAGCGAAAGTGCTACAGAAAAAAGTGATGCCATTATCAGTCAAATCTACAAACGAACTGCAAATTCTAATGCTTGAACTGAAAGTTGCTAATCAAAAAAATGTACTATCAGTTTTTTGACATTGAGAATACAATTGAAAACCTGTTGTTGAGCAGTATGAAACAAACACTGATAGAATAAGTGTTTGTAAGTGAGAATTTTCATCAAGAATCTACTCATAATTATAAAAGTACTTTTATATATAATTATTGAATTAAAAATTTGCGAAAAGAGTTCAGATTTGGAATTAATTTTCCATTATTATTTTTGGATTAATTAATAAATGTGTTGTTAGTTATTATTTTATTTTAAATGTTTAAAACTGATATCACGGTTTTAAATACATAAATAAGCGGTTTATTAAAATCAGCGGCTTAATAAAGTCAAATACATTTGGAACAGAAATGATTTGAACAAATGGCGGGTAATCTGTGTTTCTAACGGCTATGTTTCAGAAACTGATATTCGCTTAATTCCTACAAAATAATTCGGAAAACATGTGCCCAAATATATCAGACTGAAAAGCTTGTTTTACAGTTCCGCTCTTCCTTTTATTCTGTGAAATTTTACTTCCTGGTTACATTTGAGTACGTTTTCCAAATCGTTAATTCATTTCCATTAAATTTTAAAAGTTGATATTTCAAAATAAAGTTTTATTAAGGGATGAAAAAATTGCTTACATTTTGAGTTGGATCGTTTTTACATTTTGAGTTGGATCGTTTATTTTGTAGAAACATTTCGGAGGAATTTGACGTAGTATTCAAAGACTGTAATTATTCTCTGCATTTATGTAGAATTCCACTGGTTTAAATAAATAAATAATGTAATAATAAATGGTGCTATGTATTCAACAGAAATAGGCCTAAGGAAGAAATGTGGGAGGTTTATCTTTCATGGAACATTCTAAAAGGCATCAGTAGATTTCAAATCGGAGCATAAAATACCGCTCAGTTGAAAATGTTCTGAAGAGGTTATAGTCAGGAAAGGAAGTAGATCGTTTTCCTGAGAAATTCTCCACCAACACGTACAGGCTGAAGTGGAGGGGGGACACTAAAATGTCGTACAAGTACAGTACAGCGCATGATTTGTTCAACCACTCCCTAATTTTAAGTGGAGAATACCCGCAAGAAAAATATGAGAGTTTTTTCATCCCTCTTCACCTGTTCCTAAATCACCAGAGAGGACTTTCGGCTCCTATTGTTTTCAGCACTCTCATCATGCTACTTAGACACTATGGACTTACAACCATCCATGCCTTCTCCGGGAATCGAAGCCGCATCCACCGATATGGCAGCCAGTATCGCTAACCACTATACTGATTAGGTCGGCGTTCTGGATTAACAGGCACAGATTGTAGCTAAACACGTGCGCGTTCCTTCATGTATATTAGGTATCGTCTAGTCGTACGAACTGTTAACTGGAGAGTATCCCGGGGAAGAGCCTGTACAAGAATCTTCCATTCCTATTTCCCTACCACCAACAAATCGAAAGGCATTTAGACTCACCATATATTTTGAGCGTCTCTTTGCCACGCAGACACGATGACCTAGTCTGGATTCTCTTCAAATCAGAATGTTAGCAACAACACAGATTAGGTTATCTGTGGTTGAGTTGCAGGAATACGAAATAAATTAGCAATTTTTTATCTTTAAAAGTATTCGAAAGCTGAGAGATATTTTTGTCGTGAGTCTTCATTTATAAGTTCCTGCCCTCATCCAATATAAAATGTTTTTATTTTTGCTAAGGTTTGACTACCACTATCAGATCTGATGATAAGAACATTTATTCTCGAGTAAATGTAAAATCGGTTTTCATTATTAGAAATTTAAACGTGTAATTTATTATTTAAGTTAATAATTTATATTTAAAGCTGCATCTCAACCTTGATTCGTTTGGGTAATAGTTTCTCATAAACCAGCAAGCTAATAATTTAACGCTTTCCATTTGAAATATTTAAGGCATTAATTTTGACATAAAAATATCGTGGATTCATGGACTAAAGAACTCATTTAAGATTTCGTTATAAAAGCGGAAAATAAATCCCCATTCTTGGTTTGCATTCATTCATCTACAAATTATCAGAGTGTTTACGCTTATTCATTCATTTCTAGTATCTCAAATAATAAAAACATGGGAAACAGAATATCATATACTTTTATATATTGTTATTTGTATAAAATTATTTTTCTTCCTGTAGGTTCTTCTCAAAGCCACAGCTCATCTCATGGTATGGTAATTCCTGTATTTTTATCTTTATAATATCACAGGTATGACACTACTTTGCTTTTTTAGTCTGTACAAATTTATTTTAAATGCATAAATTATTTTCTTATTCTTTATTTTATTTTTTCGTTGTTGCAAGGTAAATTTTGGTAATAGTGCCGAGTATTTTAGTAATTTTTAGCCTTACCAGCCACGAGTGTATAGCATTGATTCATCGCGATCCACATACATGCTACTGTGATTCATGGCGACCCGCCTATAAACATATATAGTTCTAAAAACGTTTCCTGTCAAAAATAGCTAAATTTATAATAATGAATGACAATAAATGAACATGCATAAATATCATTAATTAATTAATTCCTAAATTAGTTCTTAATGCTAAATAAATACATAAAGTTTTACAAAGAATAAAAGTCTATTCCAAATCTCTTTGTGTTCCACCGAATATCGTCTTTCGACCAAAGTTTTAGGAATTATTTTATTCGACCAGCGTTTCTTAAACTCTGTTTGTGAAAACTTGCCGCTGTGGGCTTTCTACATGTCCAAGAAAGGCAAAAAATAAAATTCTGATTAACTTCAAATCTCACTCCAGCTGAAAATCTCAGTAATCTGGAAATTACACATGGCAAACATCTAATAATTTTTCTCCTAAGACAGACATTTTATAAAATTTATTTTCGGCTATCCTATCAACGAACTTCCTAATCTAGTCTCAGTAACAAAAGATGGATTTAAGCTTTACGACTGTAATGCTTCTTACCAACAGACATTCAAAAAAAAAAAAAAACATAAAATATAAGAATCGGCTGCTATATTAATCTCATTAATATAAATACCAATCTTTATTTAATTTTCAGTTAATAAGATTACATTTTTCTTCTGTTAACATAATATCAACATAAAATTAAATCAACTTATATTAAATTACTTATATTTTTATTAAATTAAATTACTTATATTTTTAAAATATAAGTTTATTACGCTAGTAACATACGCTAAAATATTATTTTTCCCAAGGGGATAAAAGTAAGGTGGTGCGTGGGTCTTTCTAATTTATGTAATTGGTCCCCACTTGATAAACGTTTCGGAAATGCTGCAGTAGAGCATTATATCAGGATTTGTAGACAAAGAATACCCATTACGCAATACCGCGTACCAAAAAGAATACCCCATTTTCGCAGCTTTATTTTATTACGTAGCTCATTTACAGTGCTCTAATGGAAGAAGAATGAAAACCAATATATATATATATAAGAAGGCCCTTTTGGTTCTCTATTACTATACATCGAGAAAAAATATAAGGTTCAAGTAATGAACAATTAAAGACAAAACAGAGATCTTGAACTGTGAAACGACAAACACATAATTAAAAATATTTATTTGTTTAAAACTTCCACACTAATAGTCACTTTATAGTTCATAATAAACATACAAATAGTGACTTTATCCTAACCCTTGAACCTTCGAATTAAAACCCTTGAAATTTTTACACGAAGAGTATGTACATGAGCAGACTCAGGATTTCGCAAAACTCTAAAAGCAAAAGCGCGACGCTGACAAATAATACACTCATAGCCAGACTTCAAATGTATTTGCGTAATCTCTCCCAGTCTTTACTACTGTTCTTTATAGTAGATCCGACACTATACATTTACCAGTACTTGAGAGACCAATAACGTGTACCATATTATTACATAACTATATTATTACAGAAATGCATTATACAGCATGTACAAATACACGTAAGTACACGTAAGTCTGGACACGTCAAATACACGTAAGTCTACGTCTTCACGAGTATATTTACATAGTAATGCATTTTACAGCAGGTCCAAGTACAGTGTTTTATCAATCTACTTTTTAACGAGTATTCTTTTTTGCATTCTTAGGTAAATACTGAAACCTCTTTTAAGTACCGATACATTACACACATCCAAATTTACCTTACAGTATATAGTACTTTATCCAATCTCCTATACTTTATAATATTATTGCGCATAATACAAAACATAAAAACTTCCAAGTACATTTATACATTATACATGTATATGTAGTACATTATACAAATCTGTTGTACCTGTACAATACATAGTTATCAATATTTAATACAATTGCAAGTATATACAACTGGTACTTTTACGGATAAATGACAGAAGTGCATTAATTAACAAATACAGTTATGATATTTATTATCCACTTATTGATTAAACACCCATATATTACTGGATAATTGCATCTTACAATATCTAGTACATATTATTATCGCTATTACATTACACAATTACTATGCACAATTTTTCATCAGCATATAACTTAAATAGATACGATCCTGATTACAAACGAATATTTTGTTCAGTTACCACTTTTTTTTGGCATAAACTGAAACACAAATACATATTCCATCTTACAAAATTCAGTACATTATACAATTATAACAAGTCCAGTATATTATGCAATTACACAACTGCTAATGCTTAAAGAATTATTGCACCTTATAACGCAACCTTGGACTAATGAAAAAAAAAAAAAAACTACTAAATAATTACTTATACAACTGCTAAAATGTTAAAAGACCCTTACAAATTTCAATACATATGTGTCATTTCCAAAATATAATTACCAATATATAATACAATTACTGATATATTACAAAGCACATTCAGTTGTAAATACATTATGTAGTGTATTGTAGCAGAGCATAGAACAGATGTACTGTGATACGCATGAAGCATTCTAATTTTCTATAATCTTCGTACAATTATAAATGGGCTATCCCTCATGTTCATTTACAGTCTCTGATCTCTGAGTAGATTGCAGCTAAATGCAAAATGGTCCAGCCTGCCTTATTCACCACATTCACAAGATGCATTATCTCTAATCTTAAAGTGGTAGAGATAAGAAGAAAAGGAGCCGCGGCCTGTCAAAAAGGTGAGTGGTATAGTAAGGTGGAATATGTCTGTTCAGGGGACACTAGGGATGTACTTATATACTCTTCGTCCTGTGGCGCTTCTATTCCACTCATCTTGCCATTTAGTCATAAGTTGAGACATAGTTTCTTGCTTGAGAAAACAGACCAGTCTTTGGCAATATGGTCAGCCATTTCATTGCCATATATGCCAACATGTGCAGGGATCCAGTGCAGATGAGGCCTATTGTCTGAGTGGAATACTTGTAGAAGCAGATATCCAATATTATTCACTAATGGACTGCGTTAAGCAGTCCCTGCTATTGCAGTTTAACTTAAAGCTGAGCCTGTATAAATGTGATTAGATGCCACAGGCGCTTTCGACAAATAAATTATGGCTGCTCTAATTGCTAGCAACTCTGCCTGAAAAACTGAGTTAAAAAAACCCAGATTCCCTTCGCCACTGGTAAGTAACTCTATTGTTTTCGATATAGCAAAGGCCATTGCCTGTTCCCTCTAGGGGTTTAAAAAAGTCTGTATATATTCCATCAGCACTATTGAGGTCATTTGGTTTCATAAGTGAGATGTACTCCTCTAGAATATTTGCCACTGGATGGTATGGATCTTATGGGTTGTGATGTTCATAATCTAGCCGATATTCTAAGTCGTTAACTAGATATCAGTCCTGAATAGTCTCTTTATAACACTCTAGACAGGAACCTAACACCCAGATCATCACACATCATATAGTTGGAAGCCGCTAAACAGGGAGCTGGAATGCACACGCTATCTTTTTCCGTCTTTTACTTATTAAGGAACACACTTATTAAGGAGAGATTCTACTTTCTAGTAATATAATTGTTCTCTGATATAATTTAGATGTAATATAATTGATATATTTAGATGTAATATAATTGTTCTCTAAATATAATTGTTCTCTGATAATTATATTTAGAATGATATAAATATCATTCTAAATATAATTATCAGAGAAAAATTATATTATAATCGTAAATTCGGTATTTATGAGCATTATGCACAACATAAGAAGAACATAACACATATTGTCAGGTTTTAGTCACAGGAATACATATGTTCATGACCTTCTCTTTCATTACACTCTAATAATTCAATATATCTGATAATTTTTTACGAGGACAATACGTCTTCAGTAAATTTTCTTTTATCTAGCACATTCTTGAGAATTCTCAAAGCATCTTAGCCTTATTTTCTAATACACCTTTCTACCAGTCATAATGTGCAATTCTTTTTATCTACTTTTAAGCTCTGAGGAAAACGCCTGTTAGAATTGCTCTTTCTTTCTTCTCGCTCTCTTTTCATCGCTCTTTACCATTGCTTTCTCCCCTTCCAAAAACGCAAAAGTCGAATTTGTTTTCTGTATTTTCTACTTTCACTAAACGTTAATTCTTTTCCTATTTTGACAATTAAAAGCAAAGAAACCTTTTCTTTCAAAGCAGTATCCTTTCTTAAGCAATATCTTGCTTCTCGCTTTGTTCATTAAAGCAACAATTATCTCTCTCTGCAACAGACACAGAAGGCCAAAGATTCCTTTATTGACAATCGCTATAGGCTAACTTCCCAAGCACCTGCAACTTGCCTCCCATATCGCAGTTTTTATCCTGTCCAGGAATTAACAGCAGTTAGAATTAACCCTGAAGCATGCATAATTCTACATAACACTATCACACATCTTATGTCACGTGTTACAGTCATAAGAGTATCTACATGCTTTGAGCAGACACCATTGTAAAGTTAATTCAATTCAACTATACAGTAGATACCATCTATTGAAATGTATATAACATTTTGATGAGCCCTGAATTAATTATATATTTAAGCAGTAAATTTTAATATAAAAGCAAAAGGTTTATATTACGTAGCTAAATTTTACCGAATACATGCTTATAACTACGTTGTTGCTTGTTTTTACAGAAAATTATTCTAAATAGATAGTATTAAAATTGCTAACTTTTCAACTACCTTTACTGAAACTTTCTGTTTCCGAATTTCAAGAATTTATCTCTAAAATCTTGAATAATCAATTATTTTATAGACTTCTGTTCTAGATAAGATAAAAACCACAGCTCGCTCACACCTTCAAATTCGAAGAAAGTTTCACTTGTTTATTTTTTAAAGGATTAGTTTCCAGTATTCTGTAAACGGTTTAAAGCTTCATAGAAATTAAGAAAATAATACATCTAAGCTTAATAATTCTATTGCAATGCATACCAAAAATTAGTTTTATATTTTAACTCCTAAAAAAGCAACTAACCTTGCATTTAAATAACATATTAATTGCAACATAATATTTTATTATTTTAGTCATGTCTGCAGTTTTGAACCTGAAAGTGCACAAACTAAACACGAATATTTGTAGTCAAAATATAGTACATGAAATATAAATATCTTTCATTTATCGTAATATTAATAAATTTAAACCTTTTAAATTACTATGATAAAGCATAAATTGTAAAGATATTTTATCGTGTTTCGTTACAGGAAAAGAATAGTTTTAATCTTACATATCCAGAGAATAGATTTAATTTTACGCAGGTAGAATATACATCTTTTACTAGAAGTTGATTTATATTTATGAAAATACTCGAAAAACTTTGTTGTTGCTAATTGAAATATCCTGTCTGCGATTAATTCATTTAATATTCTTTGAAATAACGTGAATAATTTTAAAAAACATATTTGCTCTCGCATTTTTCATGTTTATAATTAATTTTATTGCACAAAAGTCGAAAGGTCAATATTATGCGGATAAATTAATTTCTGAAGGATGCGTTGCAGTAAGAGCATAACAAATATACAGTATTCATAGCTAAACCACTGGTAACTATAACAGTATTATTTATTTAAAAGAAACTTGTATTCCATTAAGAATACACAATAACCGCCCTGTAAATCAGATATTTTCGTTTATGCTTTTTTGCGTTGAATTTCTTTCACTCTTATTGTTATCCACTGCTACTCCCCTGGGTTACAAATGTTATAGAGCTGCTAGGACTGCTGCGTCTCCGCTACAGCTTCCAAGTAGGGTCTAGGGCTTTTCACGTTGCCATTTTACCGTAGCCGTTTCGCCGTAGGGCCGTTTTGCTGTCGGAATGTTTCGCCGTCAGAACGTTTCTCCGTCAAGACATATTTATCTTTACATGACTGTATTTTATCTTGGCGTATTATACTCGTATAGAATTTATTTAGTTTAATAATTCTGTTTACCATTTTTATACTTAATAAAGGTTTCTTTTAATATATGTAGTTATTTACAAATATGAGATATAAAGAAATTACACATACTTAGTTGGAAAATTATGTCAGTCAAAGAGAAATGGGGCTGAACTTCTGATATAACAGAAGTTACGTTACCGATTTTATACAATACTTACATGATTAGTCAAAATTTCTTGAAATTTAAATCGTCTAGTTCAGGAAAATCACTCATACAAGCAGGAAATGAAACTTTATGAAATCTAAATGGCAAACGGAATTACTTTGGAATCTTGTCAGCACCTTACTCTCTTAAAATTAATATGTCATATGTAACGGTGTATTTGTATAAAACTGTACACAAAAACATTTTATATATTATTTTGTATAAAATATTTATTAAATTAAATTAAATTTTTAAACTCAACTGATTTATTAATTTAAATCAACTTAAATATGGCAAGATATAATACAGTCATGTAAAGAATAATATGTCTTAACGGCGAAACGCCCACCGCGAAACGGCCACGGCGATATTGCCACGTCGAATAGTCCCATTCCCTCCAAGTAGTCTCATCGTCACAGTCTTTACCGCTGAGCCTGTCTTTCCCAGTCTAATGCCCTTCTGAAATATTAGAAGTATCCATTTTTTAAGCTCTTCAGTGTTATTACTTCATCATTCAGATCCAATGTGCCCAAAATCCGCGAGCTAATTAGTTAGGAAGACGCAAGGAATTAATTATTACATGGACGCATGCATTTTAAAATTTAAAAACTAACTCGCTTTCTGAATGCCTAAGGAAGGGGAAAATTACATGACTATTTAAAAATCTCTTCAGAACTATATATTAAAACGCAAGGGAAAACACGCGAGTAAATATGGTATATCTAACGTATATATTGCAATAGGATACGATTTACACCATACAGATTTCTTTGAGTTGATCTGATCCATTGCGAATACTGCATTTCATTCGTTAAGTGAAGTAATACTGATTTCTAAATGAATATTAATATTTTTATTTACATTTAGGTTCTTCTTACAGCAGCAACTATGAGCACAGTTCCTCACAAACAAGTAATTTACGTTCTCGTTACATGATATTTAAGTTCTCATTAGTGCAATGTACAATTTTATTTAAAATATATGTCATATCGTTTAGATAAAGTTATTTCCAATTATTTCTGAATACCTGTTGTAATAACTTTTTAGCAATATACATGAGCTGAGAAAATACTTTAACTGTTTGTTATTAACAATATTTGATTTTTCAGGTTCACAAAGATCACACGCGCAAGTCCAAACCTCTCAGGGTAAGTCAAATGCTTTTCGCAACACAATGGTTTCTTTGATTATAAGATGCGTCAATTATAAGAAGGTTGTTTTAATTTCAATATTATCAACGTAAAATATACTTTTATTGTAAGGAAATATAATTCATTTAGATAATTTATTATTTTAATAAACGACCTCAATTTATTAACGATAAAATGTTTACATTCAAATTAGTTACTTAGAAAAGATTAATTGCATTAGAATAATTAGAATTTAGAAAAAATTCAATATTCTAAGATGTTGTCGATTCTAAAGTTATCTCGATCTCAGTGGCGCTTATACGAGAAAAAACACTTATCGTAGAACAGAAAAAAATACAGTAATTATTATACTTAGCAATATTTTACCAGTTTCAATTAAAACATTGAAGAAGATCAAAAACAAATTTTTAGTGTAAATACATTTTAGTCTTTGAAACAATATCAATTTAGGAAGAAAGGGTGACTTAGAAATGCACTTCTTCGCTCTTTAAACATCCAAAAGATGAAAACTTCCGATTTTTCCACGGAAAAACTGCTAGAATCAGCAACGCGATGCCCTCAGACCCCAAGGTGCCTGCGAAGCAACTTCAAAGTGCCCGTAGTTCGAACATTTTTTAGGAAGAGAAAGAGCATCGTACTAATATTGTACTGATATGAAAAATAGATGCTTCTATTTATTTTCTCGTTGATTCTAAATACCTTATATAAATCACATTTATTCTCTTCCCTAAAGTAACTAACTGTGCATATTTATAACTGTGTATAACTTTTAAAAATCGTATTTATTCTGTCACCTGAAGATACGGCGTGTTTTGTCAATTAAGTAAATTTGCATATTAATATTTTGATGCTTTAACAAAAATTCAGTTAAATTTGAAATTGTAAGGGGTAATTCTTTTATCTCTTATATACTAACGAATGAGAATGTCCAATGGAATACCTCCTACTTAAGTTAGACAGATTGTTACAATTAAGGAAAAGTATTCGAAGTCGACATATCTTCTTAGGAACATATAAGAAATTCGCCAAAATATCTGAGTATAAATTACTCAGTTGTTTTAAATAAATCTCAGAAAGAAATTAACAGTAGGCTGCGGCTTTAACCACTCGGCCATTATCAGATGCAAAGAAATCCCTCTTAAATCTGTGTCTTTATGGTTATGACCTAAACATAACTTACATGTTCAAAATATATTTCCTTTAAATATGCTCACTTTTAATTTATTTGTAAGCTTTATTTTAATGAATACGTTATTTCTTATTTTGAAACTTTCCTGTATTTCTATTATTTTCCTCTATTCCACCACCAAACGTAAATGATACAAATTTAAATAATGAGAGAGAATCTAATGTTAAAGACAGAGAATTGGCAACCTCAACCTCTCGTGCTGAAACTGCTATATTGCTTTCTGTTTTTAGCGTCTCGCTAAGGCCTGATGAGTTACTGTTTGATTAAGATAATGTTAATATTCTCGAGATAGAGGAACCAGTTTTTTAAGCTTTAATACTAATAGTAACATATAAAATATTTGAGTCATTACTTCTGGTTCAGCCTACAAGAAACGGGAGTTAATCCTGTTGTTGTTTAAATACCCTTAATTGTGAGTTAAAGTAAAAATAAATATTTTAATATGACTTTTATTCTATTGCTATTTCTTTATCATTGTGTGGTTGAAAATAAAGACGAGAAGACAATTTACCCGTCGAGTGTTAGACTATGTTAAAAATGTTTAACCTGTCAAATTTAATTTACTCTAATAATAACTGTTTCCTTTTTATTTTACTTTCAGGAAGAGGTCAAAATTTATGTGGACAGCCTAGAAATCCTCGTAATGGAGCTCATTATTGCAGCATGAGCAATGGTCAATGGTAAGCAATTAGAAATATTTTAATCTCCCGAGCAATATAAATAGGTATGAGAGGTAAAGAGGTCGAAAAATTTGATAGTGAATTTTCAGTAAAATAAAATTACTAATCAGAGTCTCCAACACGTTTTCCCGCAACATGTGCTTACTATTTTTACAATGATGTCAGTTTGTCTGTCTGTGTGTATGGGTATTAAACTTTTTCTTCCACGAAAACTATTATGCAGAGGTGTGCAATGCCCTCACCACGATTTGGTCTCCGGACTTTTCGTTTGCTAGTTGGCCGTGTTGCTAGTTAAAAAGTTCCTGAAATGCATTCATTGAGCAAGCATTATCATCAGTACTACAGTAGTTTCTTGGTTATTTTTCCTCCTAGGCTTAAAGTCCTAGGTTCTGAAAATTTTAAAAATATTCACGTAATTTCCCGCTTTCTCAAATCGTTCAGAAAATTAGCTCTGGTAAATTTTAAAACTGATTCATCCAGGTAGTAATTGTTTTAATCTTATTAACGAAGACAAACCCCCGCAAACTATCTGCCAAAATTGCGTCGAACCTCTCCTCGTAACTGCTGAATTTTATGGCATCCTAATGCACGGACCGAATAGTCACAGCGAAGCAAATAGGAACTAACATTCACTGTACGATTTCGCTGTGTCAATTACACATTCACCTTCTCCAGTTGTTAATGGATATGGATGATCCGTTGCTTAAAGAATAGCAGAGGCAACAATAATAACGGCCAAGGTTCAAGTTACAGAGAAGCAGAAATGGGAATTTGTTAATTGATATTGTAAAGGTCAATATTGCTATGTATTCTTAGTGGAGAGTAAGTTTCTTTGACAGGAATACCATTGTGACAGTTACCTGTAGTTTTTCCATTATTGCTTTACATTTCCCTTGCTCCTACTGTAACCGCGTCATTTGGAAATTAAATTAATTTTCAACTATTTGCACAATTTTCTACTCTCAAATTTTAAACTATAAAACTAGTTAAAAAGGTGGGAAAATACGTAATAAAACACTTACTTAACTTACCACATCGCATATTTCTCATCAAATATTTGTGTTAATATTGGGAAAATTAAAATTAACTTGATGCTCAAAACTATGAATAAATTTATCAATTAATGAATTTGAAGTTCATTAAAGATGTAGCAGATCATTCAAAAATATCCTTCTTTTGCAAATATTTTAAAATTAGAACCAAAGTAATCTAAATCTTTAGATTTAAAAATAAATAAATAAGGGCATATGCGGATATAAAGTCTGATATTACTCGTAGTTCATAGCTTGATTCGGTCTTGCAAGAAACTTTAAAACGAAATCTTACGAATAACGCAAATAACTGTTAGATAAAACAAAACAACCTGCAGGGTAAATGAAAATAATTCTACGGAAATTTTGATAGCAGTATTTATCCGACAAGATTGAAGTTAATTAAATTCACGACTCAAAAACAAGCCTGAAGAAAAATTAAATGTTATATACTAAGTAACGGTATTTAGCTGCCTCTGGCAAATTTAACGAAAACACAAACTGCAAACACCTGTAATTCTCATCAAAACTTTTATTTTTCTCTGCGTTATGTAATTATCTGCAGAAGCCAATATCAAGAATTTTTATATCTTTTTCAAATAACAGCTGTATCTTTATTCTCAAATTAACTTATCGTCTGCGGAAGGAACTGTCAAATCATTTTCCATGTAATAATAATGAACGTGCACGCGCTGTTTACTTGGACCTCAATACATAAATACAGGAAAAAAACTCGCTGAAACCTGGGATTTGTGTTATATCAACGAACCGTAACTTTTATTCTGGAAACAAAGAAAAGTTAAGCCTATCTGCCAAAATGTCACCGAAAATGGGCACAGCTGGGAACCATGTTACATTAGATTCAGAAATTAATCCAGCTAATGCGGTTTAGTGTCTTCTGAAGCAGAAATATATTTTGCAAATACTTGAAGGTGTGCGATAAATAAGAAAGAGATTTTTTTTTCTGTATGGCGCCTGCTCTGTAGATCAATACTTGCTATATAATTTCTGAAAGGGAAAAAATAGCCGCTGCAGTTTCATGGCGCAAATACAGTTTTTTAATTTTTTAAAACCGTTTCTAATATCAACATATAAACAGTTGAAATATCTTCAAGTATACACATATCCCTTTAATATAAATTAAAGAACAGGAAGGATGAAAGATAATACCTAATATGAGACGGCAAAGCGACTTATCGCTTTAGTCTGAAGCAAATAACTAAGTTGTTATAAGGTTAAAATAAACTTTTCATTTAACTTTTGAATAAACATAAGACGTTATTGGATCAAAAATGAACCTCAGCTACTTGAGCTTATTTAATATAATGTTGCGTGCATACGGGTTCGTAAGAGATTGAATGCACAAGCCCGATAATAGTTTAATAGAATTTATTCTTATTAAGAGAAATACATCAGAACCCTGAAATTTTCCTCAAAGATATCAATACAAGTGTTCACAATATCATACCGTAATAATCAGTACTTATACTTCAAACTACTAAAAACGTTAATTACAATGCAATGCACAGCGCATTTAAAGAGAAAGTTAAATTGATTTATCTCAGTTCACGCGGAACTGAGCAACTTGCAGCAACAATAACTAAGTAACTCGGACGCTCTTTCTCAGGCCTTTTGTAGCTTTCAACCGGTTGCGAGAAATTTCTAGTACTACTTTAAGTTTATAGTTTTTTACAAAATATTCGCATACTCTGCTTCCCGATATTTCCGGAGAGCAATAAAAGGATGAAAGTATGGTTATAGCTAGCATAGTGGTCAATTACATTTATTCAATTTCAGTACAAATTACCGAGATAACTATTTATTCAATGTTAAATGCACATTCTTTTTTATATTACTGACACTATTTATTATTTTTTTTTACTTTTCCGGTATAACTTTCCCTTAAAATTTGTAACGAGGAAATACAATATCTTTAATTATAATTCTACTAAAAATATCTAACTAAATACAAAATTCGTAACAATAATATAAGGTTAATTTCTATGTAGGTAACGTAATCTAAGACTACACACAAAACATACTATTTTAAGCTGGCTCAAGATAACTAACGGAGCGTATTTTAAACGTCGGCTGGAGTGATGCTAAAGCCGGAATGAAACTTATGATAGTACGTAACTGTAATGCGAGGTTACCAAAAGCTGCAAACTTTCAAACGTTGCGCTTAAATACACAACTAAATTTGGATTTAATGAGGAATACGGAAAGTCGAAGTTAAAGTTCAAATCATAATAACTGATTCATTTACATAAAATCCTACAAGAAAACTTAATACCGCGTTATGTAATTACAGAGACGTGAAAGGTCAATTTTCGATTTTAATAGTTTCGATTTAATATTTATTTCATGTAATTTTTCTTAAACGGTCCTGGCGTCACTTCTGTAGTGCTTTCTCATGAATCATAAGGGAAACGCTAATTTAAATAATAAATTTTTGGAACCAAATAGTTGAATCTTCATTTGTTTGTAAATGGCAAAAAGGTAATCTGAACTATTTAACGTTCTGTCTTCTCCACCGCATGTGTGTCTTATGTCCAACAGACATCTTCCTGCTTTACCTTGCATCGAATAGGATGGACATAACTTCTCGACAGTCTTGGCAATAAAGTGACATCATACTCGTACATCAATAGACGGCTCCAGCAAATGCTATTAGTACTAAGTAAACCAGGCTACTTAAGATATGGAAGTATAAAATGTCTTATAGAGAATAACTTTTAAAATAAGGATTTTTTAACTATTGACAAAGCGAATACTAATTCAATTTGCATATCTTTACACAAAATACATTTAATATATGATAAAGTGGAATTCTGAGGAGATACTGAATACGTTATCAAAATATTAATTAACGGCATTTCAGAATGGAGCAAACACTCAGCAGCAAACATTCAAAGATAAATAAATGGCTGGCACTGAAAAAAAATTACATCATTTAGAAGCAAAAGACGCAAATGTTAACCTACATACTGACAAAGTATTTGCATACAAAATATTCGCATACACTCAGACAAAGAACCAGAACCCGATAAAATTTTTAAAATGCATATATATATAAGAAAAAATAAGGAAAAATGACCAGGAGCAGGAATTTTGATGGCGTAGAAGTGTTGATCCATAATGACTAGGAAATTGGAGGCGAAGGCAGATTAAATCTTCAGTTTTATTTTCAGCAACATGTTGTGGCTACACACAAGTCGGCACAATAAATGTGCCTGTTACAAAAGGCTTAAATTTTTTATAAATTTGTAGCAGGAAAGCAGCATCATACAGACAGCAGTTTACCTAGGCCAAAATGTGGAAAGCAAGTACGTAATGTTCAGGATGAAATCTTAAGTCAAACTGAGTTAGTGTTTGTTCTCAGAGCATTTTGATTGAATAGTTAATATTACTGTAAAATTATTATTGGCTGCTTGAGTTTTAGTTTAATTTACATCACCAGAATTGCGTAAGATTCATATGACATAGATTTTTCTCGAAATGACGCAGTGCAAGTAAATGTTGCTATTTTTAGATTAGAGAAGTACATATATATATATATATATATATATATATATATATAATAAATTAATAAGCTAGGTTGTAAGTACAATAAAAATTTTTTCGCAATATGCTGCAAAATTAAGGAAAGGATTATATATATATGTATGAAAACTAAAGAATATTTAAAAGATTAAATTGGCAGCGTAAATTAATTTCCAATCTCTATTCTAAAAATAGCAACATCTATTTGCACTGCGTCATTTCGAGAAAAATCTATATCATATGACTCTTAACGTAATTCTGGTGATGTAAATGAACTAAAACTCAAGCAGCCAATAATAATTTTACAGCAATATTAACTATCCAATCAAAATGCTTTGAAAACGAAAACTAACTCAGTTTGACTTAAGATTTCATCCTGAACATTACGCACTTTCTTTCTAAGCTTTGCCCTAGCTGGACTACAGT